ACCTTTCGGTCAGGTAATCCGCATTGTCGCTGCCGCATGCGAAGGGAATCGCCAATTGAACAATCAACTTTGTCGTCGACCTCGAAAGGGAGTTCGATGGTTATGGAGCATGTGAGTTCGACTCAATAGACCTACTGACAAATTATTTGTTTCAATATGTCCGTGTACTAAACAAAATCACTTCCATAGACTTTGCTACTCGTCAACGCCAGCCGCAACGTTCGAATGCACAGAGAACCCAACGTCTCGTTCCACTTCGGTATCAAGCGCAAGTGCATGACCAATTGCCAAGAAGAAATAGTTGCGTACCATGCCGGTTAAACGGGTCAGGATCGTCAAGGGCTCTTGCTGGCCCTGCAAGAAGCGCCGCATCAAATGCGACCTCTCCAGGCCAGCCTGTCTACGCTGCGTTTCTTCCGGCGCCACGTGTGACTACAACAGCCGACTGATACGATGGAGTTCCCGGCCGAGTCCTCATATGCTGTCTCCGTATAGCATTCCGCGGAACGACCTGCATCTGACCGTGTCGATCGACGTATGCGAGCGGCGTGCTCTCGACTACTTTCACTGTCGCGTCTGGCCCCTCCTTTCCGCTTCAGAGGAACCTTGCGTCCCCCCAACCCAGGTCGCCTTGGAATACCGAGTCGTGCTACTTGCCACTTGCGTGCTGTCCGAATCTCACCGGCTGTTACAAGACGGTAAGCATGCCCGCGATGTGCTCTGCAAGAAGCGGCTCGAATGCCTCTCTGCCGTGCGGGCCGAGATAGAAGGTTGCTGTGCCGACGTGCAGGATAATGGGTCTATGATCGGGCTTCTGTTCGCAGTCATGCTTCTGTACTTCGACGACGGATATATGAGCTGTATCCTCAACTCAGCATCGACCTCCAGCCATTACAGTGGTATCCTGGCTATTTTCGAGCGTCTGGGTGGTATCAACGCCGTGATACACACGGCTGCCGAGCCGCTGCACATGCTGATCTCGGAATTTGCGACAACAGATCTCACAACATCCATGATTCAAGGAAGGCCTCCTTGCTTTGCCCCCGAAGTGTGGGATCTTCTTGATCGGGGTCCGGTTTGGTGGGGCCGTGACCCTTTGGGTAGATGCTCTCTCGCGTCCGTTTTGCGCGAGATCGCGAGTATGAGCCAGTACCTGCAGGCAACGGCTGAGATGACTGAAGAGTTGTCGATGGAGCGCATCCACAAATTCGAAGCTGCCCTCAGCCCCGTATACGCGCCCCCGTCCCTCGAGGAATCTGATGGCCGTAGCCCTTCAGAGTTATCCGAGTCCTCTTCCGTCATTGAGGCGGAAGCTACACACGCGTTTACCCTTGTCCGCATATTCCAGCACGCCGCCTTGCTGTACCTGTACAGAGCCATATGTGGTCTTCCAACTCTTCACCCACTTGTCCAGCAACATGTCAAGTCCTGCCTTGCCTGTATCTTCGAAATCCCCAAGGAGGCGAAGGTCCGCAACTGCATTATTTTCCCGTTGTTCGTTGCAGGAGCCCATGTCAAATGTCCAGAGGAGCAGAGGTCTGTTCTAGGCATGGCTGATGTGGTTTACGACGGAATGCGCTTTGCTTCGATTGAGGCCGTGAAGTCCGTCTTCAAAGCGGTCTGGTCGTCCAACTGTGATACGTCCTGGTTAGAGATGTTCAGATATCTAAGTCCGAACGCTTTAGTGCTCTAACACGTCGATGAAACTTACTACGTTCCTTAGAAGGGTGGAGGAGGTCAGTCTTGAAGAAATAAGGGTGGTGGTTGATGTCGAGGGAAAAGGACAGCAGACTAGGACCGTCGTGACAGTTGGAGTACTCTGGCCGTAGACTTCTTCCCGGGTGTGTCAATGCTGCTTTCAAGGAGTATTATCACAATGTGAGCCATATTTGGATAAAAGTGCGAGTCGCGGTGTCAGTTGGCTATCCAGGCAGTGTCCACACACGCATGTACTTCCGTATATCTTGCCAGACACCAACGCTAAAGCCATTATATTTCCTATGTACTTGCTTCCTTCATCATTATCGTCGTCGCCATCGTCGCCATCGTCGTCCTTATCGTTTTCTCTACTGCTATCTTCCTTATAGAAGTATTATATCTAGTATAGTGGAAACTGCTCGGATATCCAACTGACACTGCCTGGCTAGCGAGACTTGGAAATGGACCTGGAAGATTCCAAGCTGCTGAAAAGGGCGACATCTCCCATTCAGTTATGAAACGCGGCAAGCTCTTCAGATCTTGTTGGGTACCTATTTGCTCATCATTGCTGTCGGAATGCGTAAGCTATTCCTTCCCCCCCTTCCCCCAATCCTTCCACTCGTAGTTCGGTGCGCGGCGCGGATCATGATGCATCGGAAGCCACGGGGCCAAGACCACGAATGCCAGCGATATCCCGAACATCCACTCCATGAGTTCTGTCTGGCGCTTGTGCACATACTTCAACGTGTAAAGAGTGTGACCGTACAAGGCCGTCAAGAGGACTACGAGAAACAAGCAGAAGCTCATGACGGCGCCTTGGCGGCACTGGAGTCGAGGCGAGCCAGGGGTGAACCAGCCGTATCGATCGGGGATGCGGAGAACCGAGGATTGGATGTAGTATCCCCGGGCAGCGACAGCTAGGTAGGTCGGATTGAGTTGGCCATTGACGATTTCTTTGAAGGGTGCGTTTCTGACTTTGTCCCTCAGAAGGCGGTCCATTGGAGTTGGTGGATATTGATAGATGTGGACGCGTATTTGGTTTAAGATATGGTGGCACAGGGCGATGTGTGCTTGTGGTTAATGTCTTGTGAAGATGGGACGGTGAGATGAAAAGGGGGGGATTATACCGCAAATGTCACAATTGCAAATATTGGCAAGTGACGTGCTGTTATCAAGGTTACGCCTGGGCTGTCTTTGGTCCTTCGTCGCGACCAGAAGGGTGTAAGTAGGGAGGCTCCCAACATGGGGTCAAGCGCCTCTCAGCTTGAGAATCAATCTGACGTAAGTGCAATTAAGCTTCTTTTTGCAGAGCCTCTATACGTAGTTTTAGTATACTGAAGCGCTTTCTGCTGAAATCTTGGGTTAGTTGTGGTTCACGATGGGAGCTATCACGGTGGGGGCAAAAAGTTGGGCAAAAGAGGAGAAACACCAAAAACATACAACACCGGGCATTCGCCAGTCGTCACCGACCTGACTACTACTCCGGCCCTCATTGGCTTATCTATGGGAGAGCGGACGGGATCCCGAGTTTTCCAATGGGTATGGTCGTATGTGGTAGATTTGGGAGGTCAAGTTGCTGATATACCACAGTTAAGAGGGGTGTGAAGACAGATAACAAGCAACTCAGTATTTTGTGATTAGACTGAAGAGAAGCCTTCGAAGGCTTTAGATCAGGCTGCAAGGTATTAAAGGTATTAAAATGCATTAATCTTATGTGTTCTAGTTTGTGTAGTAGCATGAATCATAAGACGAGTTCCGTCAGCTATGTTGCGTCGTAACAGTGAAACTGGACCTTTTCACCCCGTTCGAAGTTTGACAAGATGCAGAGACTCATTTGAATTGGAAAAGCATAACTAACGTTCATACATCAGCTCCCACACCTTGGCGGCCTAGCCTTTTGTCCTTCTACACCAAGTTTACATTAGGGGCTCACAGTCTCCCATTTTCTCCGTATAGTATCAAATCGCACCCAAATCTCTGATTTGTTGAAGGCAATCTTTTCAATAGCCGATTCATTGGGAGAAGAAGGTTCTTCTGAAGACATCATTGTTGAATCCGATTCACCTGTGCCGAACCACACCTTGATCCTCTGGTCCAACTCATATCGTCTTTGCCCTCCCTTAGCAAGTCCAGATCTATCAATGAAGATCTGGAAGATCCTGGGTAAGAAAGTGTCCGTAGAAACTTATGAACAAAGGCCACTTACTGGAAACCAATTGGTTTCTTCGTTGGCATCAGATCTTTGCAAACCCACAACAATATGAACGCTTCCATAGTCGTTTCCGGAAACTCCAATCGTATTCTTCTCCGGAAGCCCTGAGATACTAGCTTTATCCCAGTCTCCAGTCCTGTATAGGGAGTAAGACTCTCCAATACGACACGGTTGCCAGTTTCCGTTGAGATTTTCCAGCCGTGTCCCGCCTGCTGGGACATGAGAGATCCAATTGAGCGCATATTGCCCGGTCCAGAAGACATGCATACTAGGGGATAAAGACACGTTTTGATATAAAACGTCGAAAACGAAGGGTCGGGCAGCCGTTTTGGGCTGGACGCACATGGCGACCTTCAGACAATATTTCTGTGCTAAGAGAGTTTCTAGGTCATTTCGATCCTCGTGGACATGGACAGCATAGCTAGGCATTGTGACGATCATTTGAACCGATAAAGAATTCGGCTGTAAGATAAAGTGGTATGTTGATTATCGATCTTGCTGAGGCTTTAGTGTTTGAGGAGGGGTCATGAGTTGAGCAAGCTTTCGGGACGGGGCACATGATATACCTCGTGAACCACAACCGCCCACATGTGAATATCCTCACTCTTTAATGGCCAACGACGTATATCGAGACCGACATGGAGTTGGAGGGTTTGGGACTGAATTAAATCAATGCAGCTGGTCTACTTCACGCCATATCATGTCTGACAGCTTGCTTTACTGATGATTGAATAACTTCAGTGACTTCTTATCTTGCTCTCGAATGAGCTCTCTCGCGATGTGGTGTCGCAACTTGCCCCAAAGCAGCGGGTGACATCCAAGCGAGCCTACCTCTTTGGTGAGTCTGATTTTCAGTACCTTCACCCTGTAGACTGGGCGAAGAATGAGACCGCCATTCTTATCAAAATCTCCAGGGAAGATGAAAAATCAATCGGCAATCGGATGCACAAAAGGCAAGTGGCTGGCGAAGCGAAAGAAGCGGTTCGAGTAACTTGGGATCATGATCACCCCAAGATCTCCAACCACTGAAATTCACATCCGACCCCTCTGGTTGGCGGACCCTCCCGCAGCCACAACGCCCCACTCTGCGATGGCTCATCGGCGCCTCGTCCGACGCCTGATTGGCTGTTTGTATCAACCTTCGTCACGCAGCCACAGCCACCCTCGCGCTCAGCCACGCTACGTCACTTATCACTTAGAAGCTCTTGGCAATACCACCACCACCAGGTTTTGGACGAGGGAGAGGCAGCTCACTGTGCCACGACAACCAAGGACGCAAGCGAGCTTGTCATTCTGTCAGTTTCTCCCCTTTGGCTCCCTCGTCACACGCTACGCAGGACAGGAAGAAGGTATATATGCCGCCCGTTCCTTCTTGGCTCCTCCATCGACCGACACTCCCCAAGCCAAGTCTGAACTTCCGTACTTCACCACAACAAGCTTTCCTGCAAACCAGCCCTCTACCAGCAAATCCAAAAAGCGTACGTTCATTACCTGCGAACGCTTGAGCCCCCAGAAGCTCGGACTGACATACTTCTACCAGAAAACCCACCAACACACCTTCAACATGCCTTTCTTCTACTCCAAGCCCATCGGCGGCAAGAACTTCGGCACGAGCGTCCACGCAGACCGCCACGGCATCCGCCGCGGACCCTGGCGCTTCCGCATCGGCCGCTTCAACTGCTTCAGATAGAGGCGACGCAGCTATGAAGTGTGCGTGTCGTTGCCCTGAAAGTGCAACCGCTACCGCGACCAGGTCTGGGACCTGCCTACCTACTTCTTGCCTTCTGATTTCCCCAGACGACAGACAGTCTTGGGATGATGGCCGAACGACTTTACCTTTTATGAGATCATGGATACCGGCGTTTTGCTTTATGAGCCCTTTGGGTTGGGAGTGCGAGCGTTTCCTGACTTGTCTGTCCTTATTGGGTTGCCGCCGTTGCGACTGGATTGGCCGTGATGGCTTTTGGGCGGAACGACGAGAGTCGTGCCTAGTTAGATAATGAATACTTTTCTTCATTGATAGCACAATGGTTGGGCGATGTCTTGATTTGGTAGCCCCTCCTGGCCATGAGACGGGACCGGAATTCGGGGATCGCATGATTTGACAACCAGCCTCAATAACGACACTACCTTCCAGCTCACGATGTGACACCCTGGTGGGAAGCACGCCTCAATATAGTTCGCAGAAGTTGGAGTACGTGTAGCCAACCGGTATCGAGCTCGGAAGTCTTCTATTTTATGGCCCCGGCTCGACTGTTGATGCTTGACGGGGAAGTCAATGACAGACATGCCCAGAGGAAACACAAGGCATTCAGCTTAAAGTGAGAGTCACCTCGCCCAATGCCATAGGTATGAAGACATGGCATTGGAAGACACCCATCTGGACGAACCTATCTGGAAGACACCCAGATGTCTTCTCAGCCGAAAGGCCGACTTGTCACTGCGCATGGAAGCTGGCAAATATGATCCTCGTAGAACAACCAACCAACTGGGAAGGTGGTGACATTTTCGAATTGAGCGTAAGAATCTTGTTTTCCATGCCGTCTAACGCCATTATGAAGTACCAAAATGTCCCGAACCACCCGCGAAGCCGGAGGACACGCCAGGCAATGCATCAAGGTCGTTTGGCTCTGTTTGACAAATTTGCTGCGTTTTTTTCTTTTGTATTCATTCCTAGCACAACGGTAAACCGATTTGCCATGCCAGGCCTCGCAGCAGAACCCTCCTGAATCATCGCAGTGTTGTAGACCGTTATCCGATGCAAAGTTCTTTTGTTTTATTCCTCTTTTTGTTCCCCGTTATATCCCTGGAGAAGCAAAAGATAAGAATGCCGAGAGGGGTAGAGAGCACACCAACGCAAAGTGTAAACCGTAAACCCTTTCCCCCTCGTCGCCCCACGCGCCCCTTTCCCCCAGAATGGATTTGCTATGTTCCACAGAAAAGACAGGACCCCATCCGAACGACCAAAACGGAGTGTTCTTCCGCTTAGACCTCGGTGGTGACCTTGGCCTTGGGGTTGGTGACCTTGACGCCGAGCTGCTTGGCGCGGGAGATGATGTCGATGCGCTTTCTCGAGGAGACGTTGTGGGCGATCCTAAAGAATGTGTTAGAAGTCACTGTTCGTGAGGGACGCAAAATCGGTCATGGCTGAGGATTGGGTGGTACGCACTCGGCAGCGTAGGTGCGGTTGTGCATCAGCAGGAGGTTGACGTCGTTGACGTTGCTGACGAGGAAGGCCTTGTGGCCGGAGGGCATCATGTACTTGGTCTTCTTGTTGGAACCGAAACCGATCTGAAGTGCGAGAGAGCCCTGGTCAGCGATTGTCCTCGAGGAAAGGGCCCCTTCATTTTCCCCCCATCCAACATTCCCTCTCTTCCAAAATTTCTGACTCCCTCCGCGGGGTTGGGTGCTGAACATACCGAGGGCATGGTCATGTTGCCACGGAAGCGACGGCGAACACGGTTGTCAATACCCTTGGGCTTGCGCCATGATCGGTCAACGCGCATAAAGCGGTCGCTCTGGTGGCGGTTGAAGAGCTTCGTGCCTGTTCACAAACATCCGTCAATCGTCTCGTTCCAATCCAAAGATCTCGCATGTGTCTCGCGTAACGGTCTTCATCGTCGCGTTGTGTTCTCGGCGCGGGGTGTATCGGGTGGGCTTGTTGTATTCTGGGAGGAAGGACATACGCTTCTTCACGATAGGGACGTGCTTCTTTGCGGCGACCATCTTGAACGAGAAAAAAATGTCAGTATGAGATTACGACGGCGACAATTATTGCAATCGTCGACAGGAGAGCAAGGCGACTCGATTCTCACCTTGACGGTTGTTCCTGGCTGTGGTTAGTCGGGGTGGTGGTCGTCGAGCGGATGTACGAGATTCGGATTTTTTTTGCTAGTTAGGGCGCTGAACGAGCGCTGAATTCGAGTGCGCGCGAAATTCTGTTGGAAGCCCTACGGACTGTCCACGTCACGTGTATCACGCACGGACCATACGGCCAAATGCAAACAGAGAGGAGCCCCACCAGGCCGCTCACCTTGACCCCGCTACGTTCACCGAAAGTGCCGCACTAAAAATGGTGCTCTGCTGCGAAGCCAGTTCGTCTCAACTCGCCGCATCATAGACACTGGGCAAAGTCGAGGCAAAACAGACCCCCTGTTTTTCCTGTGCTAGAGCGACTAATCTTATGCGTGCTCGCTATCGTCGTTGCCAAGAAAGTCGCTATTATTGTTGCTGCTGTTGTTGCTACTGTCATTAGTACTGTCGTTGCTGCTGTCGTCACTGATGTCTTCACTGCTATTATTGTTACTACTGTTGTCGCTTTCTCACATTGCTGTCTATCTATCGTTGTCGTCGTCGTCGTCTGTCACCGTCCTCCTCACTAAAACCACCACTGGCAGGCAGTATGCGGGAATGTAGTCGCCCACACAGACAGGTAAGTAAGTCAGAGGTTCTCAAGGCCAAAAAGGTTGGCGAAGGGCAAAAATGAAGTTCCCACTACGAGGTTCGAACTCGTGTCTCCTCGGTGATTCACATCGGATGAAAGCGAGGTATGCTAACCACTACACTAAATGGGACGAGGAACTAAACTCGGCCGCATGCAGCTCTGGAGCGTTGGTTGCGAGAGGTGGAAGCCAAGATGCCTATACCCCTTTGATGTGAGCTTTGGTAAAGAGTGGCAACGGGGCACGTCCATCGTTTGTTTGAGTTACCGCCGGCATACATCGCAGTTGGGCGCCATCAAGGTTGAGAAAAGACATGGTACCCGTGATCCGTGGGGCACCGTTCATTCATGAAGGGGGATGATGCCCAAGCTAACAACAAGCTACAAAACTCCTCTCCAGATCCCGTGTCTATGCTTCACCCTTCACCATCCGGGGTTGTCATCATGTCTGTCATGAAACGTAGGGCATCGTGCCCCAAGACTCTGTCCTCTAAAAGTCTCTATATGTTACCATCTTACTGCGGCTGGCATTGGGGCTGGCCATCCTCCTCGTCCTCGTCCTCCCACTCGCCTCCGAATCCTGGTCCGCCGGCGTTTCCGCCCATCTGCAGACACTCTGTTAGCGCGTGCTGCCAGCATCATAGGAACGATTCAAACTTACTTGGTCCAGGCTGTCGACCTCCTCGTATTCGACCTCGTCAACTTCATCCGCCTTGATCTCGGGAGGAGGGGGCGGGAGAAGCTTGTTCAGAGCATCGTACTCCTTGTCCTCCTTCAACCAGCCGTCCTCGGGGAACTCGACATTGACAATCAGGTACAGGTCGCCCCTGGCGTCACCTCTCTTGTGCGGCATACCCTCTCCGGGCACCTTCAGAATGTCGCCAGGGCGAAGGATGTTACCGCGCTCCCGCTCGAGGTGGATGCCACGGCCATCCAAGTGCGTCAGCACAGTCCTGGAGAAGCCGCCGAGGGCCTCGGCCAGGGTGACGGTCAGCTCAGTAGACAAGTCGTTGCCGATACGAGTGAAGTCGTCGTGGGGCTCCTCCTGCAGGTGGAACACAATGTCTCCAGGAGTCTGGTCGGGGTGCTGGTCGGCCTCTCCCTCTAGCACGATCCTCTCGCCGTTCTGGGAACCTCTGGGAATGTAGATCTCGAGCACCTTGGTCTCAGATGTCGTCCGCTTGCCCTTGCACTTCTTGCAACGATCCTTCTCCTTGCAGAAGTTGCCAGAGCCCTCGCAGCGGTCGCAGATAACCGTCTCCTTGCGCACCAGGCCGGGTCCGATCTGACGGAAGGCCTCGGCCATACCGGCGCCTCTGCACTTGTCGCACTGTTGGGGCTTAACGTTCGCCTTGGCGCCGGATCCTTTGCAGGTGCCGCAGACGACCTGCTTGTTGGCAGAGAACTTGACCGTCTTGCCCTTGTAGAGCTCCTCGAGCGTGACCTTGTACGGCTGGTCCTCATCGGGACCGCGACGAGGCCGCCTGGGGCCAGCGCCGCCGGGACCGCCAGGACCGCCCATACCGAAGCCGAACATTTGTGACAGGATATCGTTCAGGTCGACCTCGACGCCGCCGGGACCGCCGCCGCCGCGGGAGGGGTCGAAGGCGGCCATGCCGTGGGTATCGTAGAGATGGCGCTTCTCCTCATCCTTCAAGATCTCGTAGGCCTGGCTGACGGCCTTGAACTTGGCTTCGGACTCTTCTCTGCGATCCTCAGGGACCTTGTCGGGGTGATGTTGCAGGGCAGCCTGATGGGAGGGGCCAAGTTAGTTCAACGTTGGGCGTGATCGCGAGACTGGGAGTGGCCACGAACCTTTCGGTATGCCTTCTTGATCTGGTCCTGGGACGCATCCTTATCGATTTCGAGCAGCTCTGGTAAAATGCGTCAGACGTGATCCACCGCGACCAAAAAAAAAGGTACCCCCCAAAGGGCTCCATAGACAATTCAGATGCTTACCGTAGAGATCGATCTCCTCCGCCCCGGCGTCAGCACCGGCACTTGGTCCACCACTGTCCATGATGGAGAATTTTCTGAAGGTGTACTCGGCAAAAGTTTCGCTCGAGATGTTCGACCTTCGGCGGTTTGGTTTGGTGATGTGGAAAAGGTGGGATGTGGAGTCGACCTGAAAAATATTTGTCTAGAGTACCTGTTTGCAGCTGGTGGTTTGGCGGGGTACTTTGCTAGCATCCAGTGCCTTATGGGGCGCGCGGTCCCTAGGTACCTACAGCCTGTCCAGGTAGCGAGTGCGCGGCAGACAATATCAGGTAAGCTGGGCGCGGGTTGCTATCCGTAGCCTGTAGGAACCTGGTGCGACCAGTCTCCAACCCACCCCGCCTGCACTGCAGCTGCTCATCATTCATCCAGGCGGTGTCCGAATTCCCTATATCCCAACCAACCGGTTTCCATGCACTTTTTGTAATGGACGAATCATGATACCGATGTTGAAAACGAGTGACCAAGAAAATGGAGTAGTATATTGCTGGCCCATTGGCAATTGCAGGCGTACCGAGTTGAGGCAAAGCACCGAGCACCACGCCTGTACGGAGGTCCGCTGTACAGACGAATCTGTGCAGCGCATCTTCGACTTTCACAGGCAACCGTAGTCATCAAACCAACCCCGAGGATACCGAGAAAGAATCTGGAAGACAAAACTGGACAACTGCCAGAAGGTCGTCGAAACCTTGGCCAGCTTGAAGTGAGAGGTCAGGGTTTGACATTCGTATGACTAGTGTCATCTGAATCTTGGGAAACCCAAAACGTTTAAGAATCTGGTTGGCGTGGATAGATCAAGGAATTGCCGTATGACCACCATTTCAATTCGGGCATTGCGTTGTATCGCTCTGAATGTGCCAGTGTGCAGGGTTATTGGTGATTTGGGACGCCGCCAGCGACCTGCTGTGTTGTGTAAGTCGGTACCTCGCTTTGTACATATCTGCTTTTTGCGCCACATGTGGCTGAAGCTCATCGTCAAATTTCACCCAAGGTCAGCTCACTCATGAAGGATATTGGTGAATCTCAGGACTGCGCCATTCTCATGTTTTCAACATGTCAACAATAGCCCTGCGGCCGCATAGCAGGTCAATACTCCAACGATCAGCATACACCTGCCAACAGTGTCGCGCAAGCTCACCGAGATGGCACTCTTCTGCTAAGAAGACGGGCGGATTTGAGGCCCTGAGGAAGAAGCTTCCGTCCCTGGCCGATGGAAAGCTGAGAGACCTACCGACCAAGCCTGCTAGGACACGCTTTGCTCCTTCACCAACCGGATACCTCCATCTAGGCTCATTAAGAACCGCCTTGTTCAATTGGCTCATTGCGCGGGCCACGGGAGGACAGTTAATCATCCGTGTTGAAGATACGGATCGGGTGAGGACGGCTCATGCATGTCATTGTTCATAGGAGGGCCTAGGACTCACAACTTACCAGACACGAATCGTCGAGGATGCCACATCTCGTCTTCTTGCAGATCTGAAATGGGCAGAGCTCGACTGGGATGAAGGTCCTGACGTCGGCGGCAAGTTCGGTCCTTACCAACAAGTAAGCCTCACCCCTTCATCCTCCTCCTGTACACGTCTAACATCCCACAGTCACTACGTCTGGAGCACTACAAACATAACATTTCCAAGCTTCTCGAAGACGGTCACGCGTACCGCTGCTTCTGCTCGTCCCACGATCTCGAGCGCCACAAGCAACAGTCCCTCGAGGGCGGCGGCACCGCCCACTACCCAGGAACCTGCCGCACCATCCCCGTCCCCGAGGCCGAACGCCGCGCCGCCGCCGGCGAACCCCACGTCGTCCGCTTCAACGCTCAGGGCCGCCGCCCCTCCTTCGTCGACAGCGTCTACGGCAACTACCAGAAGAGCGAGGACGAGGACGACTTCATCCTCATCAAGACGGACGGCTACCCGACCTACCACTTCGCCAATGTCGTCGACGACCACCTCATGAACATCACCCACGTCATCCGCGGCGCCGAGTGGCTCATCTCCACGCCCAAGCACATCGCCCTCTACGACGCCTTCAACTGGACACCGCCCACCTTCGCCCACGCCGGCCTCCTCTGCGCCCAGAACGGCGAGAAGCTGAGCAAGCGCAACCACGACATCGACATCTCCTCCTACCGCGACAGGGGCGTCCTCCCCTCCGCCCTCAACAACTGGCTCGCCCTCCTCGGCTGGAGCATGAGCGAGAAGGACCTGGCCAAGAAGGACGGCGAGGTCATCTACACCACCCAGGCCCTCGCCGAGAAGTTCTCCCTCCGCTTCACAAAGGGCAACATCAAGACGAACCCGGACAAGCTCGCCGTCATCCAGCGCAAGCACCTCACCCACCGCCTGCGCGAGGACCCGGCCGACGACGCCCTCCTCCGCCGCACCATCGTCCCCGTCTCGACCAGGCTCCTCGCCTCCATCTCCGACCTCCTCGCCGCCAAGAAGGAGGAGTACCTCACCAACCCAGCCAACCACCGCCACGCCTTCTCGACGACGGACTTCTCCTGCCTGACCCCCGTCCTCGCCGACCCGGCCACGGCGCCCGCCCACATCCTGCGCGTCAACCGCGCCCTCGCCGCCGACTCCCCCGTCGACCCGCTCGACCTCATCTATGAGCACCCCTCGCTCTTCTTCCGCCCCAGCGCGACCGCCTACGCGCGACACACCTTCTCGCGCTCCCTCTCCAAGCTGGACGACCTCAAGGATTACGCCGGCGCCGCCGGCCCGGAGGCGCTGCTCGCGGACCTGCGCGCGTCGTTTGAGGCCGTGCCGGTCGCCGAGTGGGGCGCCGCGAAGCTGCAGCAGGTCATAAACGACTTCAGCGAGCGGCACACCACCGAGTTGACCAAGGACGACGGGACGACGAAGAAGGTCAAGGCGACGAAGGCGGCGTATACGTTGTTGAGGCTGGTCCTGACTGGCGATCCCCTGAGGGGGGCTAAGCCGGCCAAGCTGCAGCTTGCGCTGCTCGGGAAAGCGGAGACCCTGCTGAGATTTGACATGTGTGCTGCTTAGGGGTCGGGAAGCAGAGAAGAGGTAGGAAAGAAAAGCTCGGGGGGTAGTTACACGTCTGGTGCCTCCCTCCAGCGTGGTCTGGACTCGCCTCCCTGTCTGGTGTCCAGATGGCGGCAGTGAGACCTTTCGAGTGGAGTATTGTACGATATCATGTTCGTTACAGCCGAATGAAAACATGCACAGTATGCGGCAATGAAGATCTTGGACACCCACCAACATGTTGTCAAGAAATCGGGTCACTCGGTCTTCCTTCAATTGGGCTTGCTGCTCCGCAATGTTCGTAGTTGTCTTGGTCCTGACTGCTCGGCCGTGTCATTAGGTAAACAGCCGACTTGTTGCATTGCGTCTTCATTCACGGCAGTCACATACATACGTTTACCATGCGATACAGCACAAGTACACATGCGGTTGAATCTCCGTTCTCAATATCTGTAGACACATCTACCTCATCAGATCATGTGCAAGCCTCCCCATCAAACTTCACAGAAGTTCCTTTCGAAACACACATACGTACACACGTAGGGGAGACGATATTAAAAGGTAGACGTAGTAAGCACGGGTAGCTCGATCATTAGATTTGATGTGCGGGACTTTCAAAACCAACTCGTGAGAGTAATAAGAGGAAAAGAGATAGTTGGTAAGAGATTATATCGAGACAAGGAGAGAAAATCTTGGGTTCGTGGGAATAAGTAGTTAAGGGGAGAAGAGAAGAAAAACAACAACTGTCCTCCACCATCTCGTGATGGTATAAAACCCGGTCGCCCCTCATCCCTGGAAGCAGTTCCGTTTCTAAAACAATGCAACGCTATGATCATATCGTTCGCGGCCGTCGGGGGTTGTGCCATCGAGCCAGCTCTGTGTGGCTCTCACGCTCTCTCTCTCACTTGCAATCCAATTCAGCTTCGTGTCTTCTTTTGCCTCGAAGTGTGGTCTCATTCCCGTTTTGTACGCCCGTGTCTACAACCGAATTCCATCTCCTGAAAATGCAGCTAAAGATGATGATATAAAAAGGTGTTACTAATAGAAGAAGGAAATGGTTGTAGAGGCTCGGGCGAGCAAATTTGTTCATTACGTCGTCATGTGGCTTGGTTGGGGGTATAATTCGTCTAAATTTCCTGAACCCAGATCTGTTGATTCGAATTAGCAACGTGGTCGAGTGATGAAGAAAAGCGTTTTGATTATGACTTACCTCCATCTTGCCGATATCCTGCCTTGCTTTCCTCGCTTGGCTCTTCGCAGTCATGATCGCCATGTCGAGGTCATCTTGGTCGCCCATGGTGATCATGTCACCGTTGGGCATGTCCTCGTCGCGGATCTTAATCTTGAACCGCCTGCGAAGGCCAAACTTCTCACGGATGCGGTCGATGAAGTCGGGGAACTCGACCGCCGCACCAACCATGATGTATCTCACGTCCTCGGCGTGCACCTTGACGCGAATCTTGCGAATCTCTGGCCTCCTTGAGCCGCCACGAGACGACATTGAGTTGGTACCAGGGCGTCTGTTGGAAACCATCTCAAAGTCACCCTCATCAAAGGACCCGTAGTCGGAGCCGTCCTCCTCATCCTCCATGTACCGCTGGGGCACACGACGGGAGGTCTGGCGACTAGTTCTGGAGCTGCCGGGGCCGCCACCTTGGTACATGTCGTAAAGCTCGTCGGGGTACGCATCTTCGGCATCCTCGTCCTGACGGCCACGCATCTGCATATCGCGTCTGGAGTAGCCTCGGCTTGGGGTAGCCGATCGAGACTCGGATCTCATGCTGGGCGGCGCTGCCCGACGGTCGTTCGGGCTGCTCGTCTTCTGGTACCGGTCGTTTCCTCTGGCATTGTCGATGTTGAGCTTCGCGAGCATTGGCTTCGGTCCGTTGCGAACGGATTGTCCGCGTGTCATACCGCCAGCACCACCGTTGGCCTCGACTTGGTCGGGGGGAGGTGTAGGCGGGAAGACGCCGCGACCGTTGGGCGGTTCGGACTGTTGTCTTCTTGATGCCAGACCGGGCTTGACCAGGTT